TTTCTTCTAAGACATTATTAATAATGATATTAGAGTACATTTCAGTGACAGTCATCAACATTGAGTCTATATTGAAATTCCATCTCATTTAAATATCCAGATTAATCTTACATGCATTTTTTTTGTTCAGAGTACTTAGTAATGGAAACAGCATCTAATTACACCATTCATTTTGTGAGCGTAAGGTAACTGTTTGTTGTAATCAAACATCCTGCTGCAAAAAGCTGTCAATAAGTGTGACTCATTACCTTTCCTACCTTGGCCAAATATCATGCCCAACAACTCAGCCACCTCTGCAAGCTAGAAGATCTCTACCCTAGATGCAGGACAAGTGCCCATCTCTGAAGCAGGCAGGAGTCTCTGGAGAGCATGGGGACAGCCTGGTGAGCACCCGGCCTATGGCATACCCTCCCCAGCAGTGTACAGACCTCTCCGCAGGATTGCTGAGCAATCCGATTTACACAGATTTCTCCAGGTCAACTTCCCCAGCCTGGAGGAAGTAGCTTGGCAACCCAAAGACAGGCTTTTCACATTCATCTAGCTATTCTTTCCTAGGTTCTCTGAGGAAACTAAAAGTTACCCACTGCAATTAATAGTTAGACTAAAAACTAGAATAATTTTTGCCTGTTAGGCCCCGTCATATGTCATTCACCACAGTCACTATGGCTGACTGAAAAGCCAAGCTGCAGGAAGAGAAGTACCAGCCTTCTCAAAGAGCCCCCTCAGAGGAGGCACTTGGAGGTGGCGTCAGTGCTGTTTTCAGCAGTGTGTCTCCGGAGCCAGTCTGAGAAATGGGAGCAGCTTGGAACAAGTGGTGCAATAAATGGAATTTGATACTGCAGACACTGTGCTGCCTAATCCCCAGTCTACACGTTTGTCCTGTTAGGCTTTTTAGGTCATAAATATTTGCTTTCCTTTGTATTATTATTCCTGGACCCTGCCGGAATATCAGCACAGTTATAGGAACTGCATTTTACTCTACCGTACTTCAGTACATTGCACCACAAACTGTATTTGAGTATAACCTGTGTGGACTTCTGGAAAGAAAAATATAAGACTGGCTTCGCAGTAACTTTGTCCAGAATCAAAGATGCATGCTTAAAATAACTGGGTTTGAAAAGGCCAGCACAAGTAGTACTTCCAGTGTGGCTAAAACAAGTAATATTTGCTTAGCAATACTTGAGTCCAGGATCTTGGCAGAAAGACCTTCTTTTCCTCAAACAATTGTCAGGGGTTTTTTTTAAACAAAATTAAGAAGTGATCTTTCAAACAATGAGCACCATTGAATACAGCTGATCAGACCACCCCAAAACAGAAGTTTTGCTTGAGAGTCATTTATGCTACCATATTTTCATGGTATTTTAGAAGTTTGGAAAAAATCTGAAGATAGTGTTTCTTAACTCTGAGTAGCTGTTTGCTAATGCCAGGAGGTGGATTTTCTTCTTGCTGTTGACTCTCATATAAGCATTGAGGCATCATGAGTTTTTCCAAGCTGAGGTATCTAGTTGCCTTCTTGTTTGCTTATGCAGGTGTTTTACGTAATAACCCCAGTAAGGCTGATGCTTTCGGAAAGCAGCTGCAGCATAGGCAGCATTGTAGGAGCTCATTACTTACAGCTTAGTTGACCTCTAACAGCACAGGAAAGCAAGTCCTATGCCCTCTAATACTCAAGCAAATTGAAGTGTTCAAATTGTATTATGGCTTTGCATTGCTAATAAGAACAACACCCTGGTAAGCAACACCCCAAAACTCAAAAGGGATCAAATAGCCCAAATGTAAAAAAACCCCCACTAAACTGGGGGGTGTGTGTGTCACCAAAACTAGATGTTATCTATCTAGTGTTACAGTCATACTTAGTCCTGAGTCTAACTAATGTAGCTGAACAGGTACTTAATCCAAAGTTCTTATATTAAAGGAGAAAATTATCCAGAAAATCCTGAAGTTATATTATTTACCAGAGAAACAAAGTCCAGCTATCCTTCCCACGCTTAAACTCTGCCTCTGAATCAGCTCTGCAAGTTTTCCTTTGCTTGAGGAGCAACTCACCCTCTAGCACACAGGCCTATCATCAAACGTGTAGGGAGGCTTTCTCAGAAGTAAGTCATTGTTTAAAGAGCCTTAAAAACAGCTCAATTTTTCTATCAAGCAACCAGAGATGCAATACCTGACTAGATGATCCCAACTGGAAACTTATTTTCCTATGATAGGAAGGGATGACTTTCTCCAAGGACACATCCTTTCCTGACTGATGAAGGATGAGACTTTACAAGCACTTCTTTTTTATGCCAGTACCTACACTATGCCCATTAGCCTGCGTAAGGGAAGGCTCAGAGAAGATCTCATTGATGTGTATGAATACCTGATGGAAGGGAGTGAAGAGGACAGCCAGGCTCTTCTCAGGGGTATCCAGTGACAGTACAAATGGCAATGAGTGCAAACTGAAATACAGGGAATTCCACATCTGCAGAAAGAAAAATTTTTTTACTCTTAGGGTGGTAAAGAAATGGAGTAGGGTTCCCAAGCAGACTGTGGAGTCTCTGACCTCAGAGACACTCTAAACCCAACTGGACATGGTCCTGGGCAACCAGCTGGACCCGACCTGCTCTCAGGCAATACAATCTCCAGAGGCCCCTTCTCACCTCAACCGTTCTGTCATTCTGTGTCCCTGCAGTACAGCACTGGCACGGTGCATATCACAGGGCAGACAGACGCCCACTGTTGTGTGATGTACTTGATCCTCTGACGCATATAATTGTTCTCTTCTGTATTAACTCAGCCCCTTTCTCCATATGGGTATACCTGTGAAGAGACCTGAAGTCCCAAGAACTAAAAATGTGATGGTGAATGTGTGTTGAGCCTGAAGAGGGAGCCTCTGCCTTCCTTCGGGAGACCCCATGCAATAACCAATTTAATAGGCTTAAATTTTTGCATCATTATTGATTCTTCCTTGAAGTCACCTTTTTTTAATTTCACCTCTCCCCACTGCCTTTAGGTTTTCCCTTATAGTCAGTTTGCCCAGGTTCAAGGATACAAGTGTCAGTGCATCACCTCCAGCTGCATAGTGTGTGAATTTAATTCTTTCCTTTAGCATTATTATTCCCTTTAGGGAATTATACTTCCTTTAGGATTATTGTTCCATTTGATTTTAATCAGCTTCTGGGAATATACCCAGCCATTCTCTGGTGAAAGTTGTCCTTTGTACGAGGATTCTGTTTTCAGAAGCATGTCACGTGAGCTGGATCAAGGATTAGCAGTGGGCATTTCTGAGCACTTGTAGTCACAGTTAACATCCTTTGTGCTTTTTCTGCTATCAGAAGGAAAAAAAAAAATCCTCCCTGGGGTACTTAAGCCTGAAGCAGAATCAAATGATTCAGTGGCCAAGCAATACTAGAACCTCCCATGAATAGTCCCATGATTTACAGGCAGTTATACTCTTGCCAGAATAGGGCAGGGGGAGGATCTGCTAGAAATCTTTTTGAAAGGGCTTTTAAGCTGTAAATTTGGCACATGCAAAAGCCCTGTTTCTACAGCTTCACAGGGAACACAGAAGAAAACCTTCCTTTTCTGTGCCCCACGCCTGTGTGGATTGCTCCTCCATTAAGGCTTATCTACCTTCATGTAATGAAGCCTGAAACTTAATCAAGGGAGGCAGCAACAGGCCTGGATTTTCAAGACTGAGTTTCTGCCTCCTCTTACTCACACAGCTGCAGTTTCTGAGTTTATGTTTCTCACAGGTGGTTAGTGACAGAACAAGGGGGAACAGCTTTAAACTCCAATATGGGAGATTCAGACTGGACATTAGGAAAAATTTTTTCACAGAAAGAGTGGTCAGACAGTGGAATAGGCTGCCCAGGGAGGTGGTGGATCCCTGGAGGTGTTTAAGGGTCATTTAGATGAGATGCTGGGGGATGTGGTGTAGGGGAGAACTTTGTAGAGTGGGGCTGGTGGTTGGACTCGATGATCCCAAGGGTCTTTTCCAAACTGAATGATTCTATGATGATTCTATGTGTTTTACCTAGCCTCCAGTCCATCTCAGCAGGAGCTCTGCACTTTTGAGTTTCTCCTGGTGTTAAAGCTAAGTGCCTCTGCCACTCACCATTTGCTGACACAGGACAGAGAAAAATTATCCTAGTTTTATCACAATGACTTGAACAATGTATGCAGCAAGTCATTAGCTGAAGCAGGAATTCAACCCAGAGATCCCAAACTATCCTTTGCCATTGCCATATTGATATCTTATCCCATCTGCTTCATTTTCAGAAAGGATTTGATAGCTGAATTGCCAAGGGTTATAGCTCCCACAGTACATTCCTGAACAAAACACAATTAAGTAGCAACTTCATCCTGACAGCTGTGTAATCAGCCATGGAAAGGAAAGGTAAATGAAGATGCTACAGCAATCACCTGCTCCGTAATGACTCCAGGCAGGAGCCACTTTCTCTCTGTGGAGAGAAAGAGAGCCCTGCCTGCAGTGGCTTTTAGCTGCTGATCAAAAGCTGATCTTATCCTCAACACAAACTTAAACCTGCTTCGGGAGTTCAAATCTTCCACCCACCTGTGGAAGAAGGGCTGATTTCCAAACTGTATCTCTCCCCACAACACAGGACACATCAAAACATGACTTCTGTAAATACAAGTGCTGTTAAAAGGGTCTGTTTAACTGATGTAGTACCTGGGAGCTGCAACAGTTCAGTGCCTAGTGCTTGCATGTGCTGTGCGCCTGCTTAGGGACCAGAGCAAGTGAAAAAAACACTATTCCACACCCTGAAAGCCATAAACAAGAACAGCTTTGACTTGGTGACTACCTGATACTTTATCCTGAAGGCAAACTAGCCCTTCTGTCCTCCTCACTCCTACTCCACAGGCAGGTCTGCTCTACAGCCACCTCTTAATTTAACAGCAAATACCTTGCAGAGTTTGAAGTGTTAAGCAGCAAAATAAGGCACAGCAACATGAGAGCGATACCAAGCAACACAGTGCTTTAAAGTGTTCGTGAAAAACATCAACCCAAAACTTTATTTAGTAGAAAACTTTCAAAAGACATAATAATTAGTCTGTTAGAATGTTTAAAGCATTACACTGACAACATACTCATTAAAGACAATTCCCGTTCTCCTAAGGTGTAGCCCCGTTTCATACTGCACCCTTTATTCACTGCTTTCATCCTTACAGAGAGGCTGTAAAGCTCTTCTTCTGCAATGCCATCAAAAAAGAAGTCCTCATTGAAGATAGGATTTCTGCTTCTCTTTATAACAGTGCTTCTCTGCTTCTGTGCTTTCCCTGGCACCAGGGAGAAGGTGATACAACAGTTTATGCTTTTGGGCTCTACAGAGTCATCATATAAACCCTCTGCACTGATTAGGCGGATCCGCAGCCTTTTATTCTCTAAGCAGTATTCAGCTGAGAGCCTCAACATGCCTCCCTTGTCCATTACCACAGTGCTCTCTCCCATGAGTCTCTCCCGGCTGCGGGTCAGGTCCAGGGGGAAGATGGGAGAAGAGGACATGCTGAAGCTGCGTGTGGCAAGCAGCCCCTCTGAGGCCCGCCTGATGGCACTGGGGCTGTTATCAGTGGAGCTGCTCTCCTCTGTAGAGAGAGAATTGTTCCTGGCCACACTGGATTTGTTCTTGGCTTTCAGTGCTAGGCAGAGCAATCCCTCCTGACTTTGTGTTTTGATCAGGGAGCAGGATCTGGGGAGTGACCTGTTGAGAAGCGGAGAACTGAAAGGGGAGTTATCACTGGAGGAGGCAGTATCACTGTCACAGGCACCTTGCCTGCGCAGAGAAAGATGCTTGGGAGGCAGCCTCACAGAAGCAAAGCTGATAGCGATGGGATCAGACACACTCCCTTTGCCACTGAATGTGTTAGCTCTGGATCGAGACAGCATCAGGCTGGGCAGAGCACCACGTGGGTCACCGTGGAAGATGGACTCCTTTCTCCTAGTGTGGGGACTCTCCAGCAGAGTGCAGAAGCCATAGGAAGTGGGGGCTCTGGGAAAGTGAGGCAGGGAGAGCGCTGCTTGGGACTGTGGGTCTGAGTTGGTGCTTTCTTCCTCCAGGGCTGGGATCTCTTCAGCACTTTCCACCTGAATGAGATGGGGCAAAGAAGAGCTGGGGCTGTAGTCTGAAGAATTAAGGTCTGCATCCTCGGAACCATGGTCCTGGTGGAAGCCAATGCTCTTAACAGAGCCAGAGGTTGTCAGCCTAGGGGGAATGCAGAATTCTGGGATTCTGTCCGGGGTGAGCACATTAGGAAAAGCAGCAGCCCCCATTCGGGCTTTTTCAGGCCCATTTTGGCCAGGTGGCAGTCCCAGGAAGGAGGAGCTAGGGAGGTTTCCATTTTCATGTGAAGCTCTGATCTTTTCCAAGAACCACATCACTGTAGCTGGGCTGAAAGTCCTCAGAGGGGAAATGCTTGAAGTACAAATCCACCTGCAGACAGAGATGCAGAAACACATAAACATCTTTCTTGACCACGCTACAGCCAAGGCAGGCACAGAGGATGCTATTCAAGGCAGGACTGGCACAAGCTCAGTCAATCCACAGTTTCAATACAACCCCTGCCCAACGCACTATCTCTACTGAAGTCAAATAGATTTTGCCCCAAGAACAGAACTAAACCACTGATGAGATAAAACACCATCGAGTCACTACCGGGGGAAAACGTCCCTCCCTGCTAACCCCCACCGCATTCCTCCCTTAGCACAGAACGTACCTTATCAAGTGCAAGCCACTTAGTTTCCTCCAACAGCCCTCGCTCGCCGCACAGCAGCCTCGGCACCCTCCGCGACTGCAAACCCGCACCCCGGGCCGGGCCGCCCCTTTTCTAGCGGCGCCGGG